ATATATATATATATATATTAACAAAAATATTTACTTTTTAAAAATGACAGAGCAACTCAAACATATATTTACCATCAATCTTTATTTAGTTTTCCAATTAAAAAAACTTTAAGAATGTAAATCAATGATCATACTTTATCGGTTAGTATTTCTAGTTTTACATATATATTTCAATTTTTTAACAAAAATAAAATTAATAGTATGTATAAACTTATTTGATTTACAAATATTAATAACTTATATTATAATATAAATATTTAAAAATAATAAGCATACGTACAATATATAATAATAAATAATTTTTAAATTAATATATAAAATAATAAAATAAAACAATTTAAAACACGAATATTTTACTATAGCACATGTACAATATTATTAATATATATATATATATATATATATATAATATGTATGTATCTTTTTTCAACAGTATATATAGAAATGAATATTATACTTTACTCAAAATAAATATATTTTTATATGATTATTATTATCTATTGATTATGACATTATTACTTATTATAACATTTAAAATTTTGAACTAGCACCTATGTTTTGGCTAGTAAAAATAAGAATAATATACATATTTTGATTTTAGTATAATAAATAAAAAAAGTACAATTTTATACAACAAACTTAGTTCCGTTAATTTTATTAATAACTAATCACTATAAATTTCGTTTTTAATAATTTTTACATGTGTTTTGTTTTCTTTTTAAAATTAAAATTTTTAATAGTGTCCTTAATGTAAGGATAAACCAATGTTGAGTATTATCTCAATCATTAATATATTAAACAAAATTAACAAATAAAAAAATGATTTAAGAATGTACACTTTAGTTTTATTTTACAAAAAAAAAAATACTTTAATATTTATTTTCATTCTGTGAATACATTTATCATTTATAAATGTAATTAATCGGCCTAAAGTTCAATTATCATTTATAACTCAGCTTGATATCATTTATTAAAAAAAAAATCCTTTTTTTCTACATTTTTTTTCAATTTTTTTTAAATAAAAGTTTTAAAATTAAAATGATTATTTTACTGATTTTATTGTATTTAAGTGATTTTTTTTAATTTTATCTGTCTTTAATTTGACTGTTTTTTAAAATTTAATAACTTTTTAATTAAAAAATTATTTACAAAATAAATAAAATCTATTTAAAAAATTAAAAAAAATTACTCATATTTAATTTTATAGTTTATATATAAATAAAATGTTTTTCTATGTGCATAATTTTTATTTCTACTTATCTTTTATAAGATAATCATTAACTTAATTATTTCTTAAAAAATATAATTGTTAGCTGATTTTGAAATATTTAGAGAATTACGTATAATTGTATAATTGGCACAAGAAACTGAAGCACAAGAAACTGAAGCAAAATATCAAGGAAATTCATAAACTTCGAATTGCAGACCAACACAGAAACACCATGCCAATTTTGAACCTTGACGTGATCACGGTCACAAATGAGGAGAAAACTCTTGCTCACTGGATACAATTTTGACTTAATTTTTTTGCAGCCAAAATCAATGCAGAATCGAAATTTTATTAATAATGAACCAATCATCAAACAAATCAAATTAAGGAAATAGCAAAATTAACCAATCTCTGTCATTTCCATACGGAGAAAGTTCTGAAACCACTAGCATAATCTAACATAAATGTATGTCTCAAATAGGCGAAATCAAGCTTGGAGCATAGTGAAACGAGAAGATGTTAAAGAGGAGGAGCTGGAAGATACCTTCAATACGTTCTACTTTATTATCCTTCAAATTAAAGACAATGAAATCGCGATACCCCATCTTTGAATATGTGAGCAACAATAGATCACCAGACATGCACAAAATTCGCAGGTTGCTGTTATGTTCTTTGATCTGAAGACTCTTATAACTCACACTCAGCAAGTGAGTCCAAGATGTTTCATCTCGAACGTCCTTCAATACCAAAACATCAAAGTCGGTCTTCCCACAATGAGAAAAACAAAGACAACCATTCAAAACTCCGATAGAATTAGCGGAAAGTTCTTTACAGAGGAGTTCAGGCACCGACAAATATCTGCATGTATCGTTATGTAGATCATACGACAATATTCGTAGCTTCATCCTCGATTCTTCAGAAGAAAAGCCTAACCAGTTAACAGTGCCATTAAGAGAGTGTCCATTACTGTCAAAACTGTGAAAAGTCGAATAATTTATCATAGTACGTCTCCAACATACGTCACCCATGCAGTAAATCCACACACTCGTTCGCCGTTGACCGGTATGAAAAAGAATTATCACCACTTTGTAACAGTCTCTCCGATCATCGTACCCAAACCCAAAATTCTTACGATGGAGAAAATCAGTGTTGTACTCAAAATTATTATGATAGGGAAAACCAGTGTCGTAACTGAGACGCAAGCTTGGTGAAGATCTGGAGGAAATCTTGGTGACAGGGTTCCAAAAGTTGACCCAGTGCTCTTCAGATTCATCGGTGGAAACAGAGTCATGTGTGCAAAGCAGACCATTGCAAGAACCGAATAAAATTCTACGGCGGTTGGGGGAGTGGTCGAGACTATCACGAAAAGTGGATACAGGGTTTTGGATTAAAGAAGATACAGAGAAGAATGAAGCAATGAAACATTGCTTCTCGTGTTCCTTTATCAGCATTAATAGGAGTTGTGGGTTTCTGGAAGACCTTTCAAGGTGTAATTTCACAAAACAGGTATTGGATATAAGGAATTTCCATGTCTTTGAAACGCACCTGAATCGTCCGAGACTCGTTACAGGAAGCCATGAAAGAATTTCCACTATGAGATCATCATTGAGTATTCTATCAGAAGAAATCGTCGCCATCTTCCTCCCAAAACCCTAGCATTAGTCTCCCTGTAGACGGTGTACTCTGTGCTAGTATTTTTAAAATATTTGTATGTATATATATATAATAATAATAAGAGT